GAATATTCTCCATAACATTCCCATGTGTTGATCACATGGAAGTTTTAAATTGTTAAATAAGAAAAAAAATGTGTCAATGCCCCAAAATAAACAACCTCATGTGGTCCAGCTCTATGAAGTTTTTTTCATGTGCTTTAACCCCAAAAGGTCGAAAATAGTGTGGCCCAGCCCCAAAAGCCCATTTTTATACATGTATGGATTTTATTTGAGTCGGCCTTCCGAAAATACTCTCTTCTCAACCATGAAGCCACCACGGTAACCCAAAGTAGCCAGTGGAAGAGGAGATCGCAATTAATGCGAGGCGATGTCAAAAATGGATGGAAAAAGATCCGGCTTCCCTCCATTACTCCTCTATCTTATTGTTTAATCCCTCACTCTCTCATTTATGGTAGTAGGGTTTTGTTCTTTAACTTTCAACAACCCCTTATGTCCTAAACATTCTCTCAATTACTCCTCATAACTGCCCGCGAAACTTTCAACAACCCGCTATGGCCGCCAAAGACTTGATTTGCATGGTGTCGTTAGGCGATAAGGCTATATTCTCAATGCTAAGTTCTACAAACAAGCTTTTATGAGCTGAAACTTGATGTGTCTGAAAGATTGAAAGTACCTTAAGATGATTTATCATTGATATATAATTCTGAGAAGTACCCGAATCTAAGTTTTTCAGTTGAAAATGAAGATGATTTGAAGTGCATAGTGAAACATAATCAAAATATTGGTTGTATAAAGATTCATATGCAAGCTATTGTTAATATAGATGGTTCTACTTCTGAAAAAAAATCAGAAAGTTCTAATTAAAATGTAAGTAATCAATAAACTCTTTTTAAAATTGGGCTTTGTGTGATGTAGGCTTTATGATTTCAAGTTTCAAAGTACAAACGAATTATAATCGGAGCCTTTAATTTCTAGTCATTTGTTAAATTTCACAGCCATCAGTTAACATTCACTAGAACATGTTAACTTTTAGGGTTTTCTGTTGACTATCATAATAACATGTTAACATATAAGTGATTGTGTTAACTTTCTTCTAGTCTATTAACTTTTGCCACTTTATGTTAACTTTCACTGTTCTATGTTAAGTTTTAACAAAACTTGTTAACTTTCCTTCTAGTTAGTTAGCATTCACAGTTACCTGTTAACTTACAAAATAACCTATTAATTTAAAATATCAGAAGATAATATTATAGTTGAATTTCATATATCATTGGTTCATTAATTTGTGAAGCAGTGATACCTCTTTGAATGCAGAATATAATCACCATTCTCCATGAAATACTTCTAATTTAGAGAGGATCCGAAATGATTGCTCATCTCAGGAGAGTATAATAAGATCAGATAATATTCTCAACAACACTTCTATCATTCCTCAATGGTGGCGCACAGTATTAACTAAAAGGGTTCAATAATTTAAAATTATAAATAAATTACGACTAGCTTTGTAATACTATTCTATTATAAAATAGTTTGATTATGAATTTGCAAAGAAACCCAAACGTATCCGAGTTTATTGTCGATTTAAGGAAACATATGGATGCCCTTGGTTACTGTTTTGCCTCTCCTGTTAAAAATAAAAAAGAATTGAAAACAAGAGGTTTGTGAATGAACACAGTTATGGACAACATACTAACTTGTTAGGACGATCACGGGCATCTTGTAAATTCATAGCAGCCCAATTACAACATGTGTTAAAGGTTCGGCCTAAAATCCACCCAATTGATGTGCAAAAGGACTTTCTCACTCAGTATGGATTGAGAATTGAATATAGTAAGTATGGTGGGGCAAAGAAAGAGCACAAGAGGAATTGTATGGTGATAGTTATGAGTCTTACGATCAACTAAGATGGTAAAGTTTATAGATTTGTTATTAAATATATAAATTTTTATAGTAGACCCTTATAGTACAATGTCAGTTATTGATTTGCTATGCAATATATTAACCTTAAACATTGGGTATTATGTTCAATTGATATATGTTAACTTTCACAGTTGGATGTTATGTTTAATAGATAACTGTTAACTTTCACTGTTAGATGTTAACTTCATGAAATTTTTTCATATTTCCTCTAATGTATTATATTTACTTGAAATGTGATGAAATTGATGTATAGGTATGAGCACATGGTAAAGGAAATAAATCCAGGAAGCTACATTTGAATTGAATAGAATGAAGTAAGGTTCACATGACTATTCATATGTTATGTTGTTTGCATTATTGGTTTCTTAAATGGATGTAGACTGTTATTATTTTTGGATGGGACTTTTATGAAAGATAGATACAAAGGCGTTGCTCCTTAGAGCCATAGCATACGACGGTGACCAAGGGATATTTCCACTAGCTTATTGCATATGCTATTAGAAAAATATAGGTAATTAGAGGTGGTTCTTGCAAGTTTTGTGGTCCATACTGTATGAAAGGTCAGATCCATATAATCTTCCCCATCAATTGGTAATAATTTCTGATGCCGGTAAGAAAATTTGAGAAGCTGTGAAAGAATGTTTTCCTAAAGCAATTCACTCAAGATGTGTTTCACATCTGGTTTAAAATTTTAGAAAGAAGCTAAAGGATTTGGGAATGAAGTCAAAGGACACACAAATTTTAGGAATTTTTCTCCAATCTGTATGTTATAAATATAGTGTAGAAGAATGGAATGATTTTATGAAAGACACTTACGAGATATCTCCAGCTGCATATGATATTGCAATTAATTACTCTCTAGATCATAGGGAAAATGCATTCTTCCCTCGAATTAGGTACTACCATCAATCATTATGACGTTTTGCAATAGATTTTAACATTCATTCATATATGGTAACTTTCATGCATAGATGTTAATTATCAATGGTAGATGTTAACTTACCTTTGTATGTGTTATGTTTCAGTGTTATATGTTAACTTTCATTATTAACTATTAGGTTTTATAACTAAATGTTAATGTTTTTATATATTTTAAGAAGTATACTTATACAAGTTATTGTTTTGATGTTTGAAGATAATGTCATGTAACCTCTAATGTCACAAAGTCCTTTAACAACTGGATACGTGAAGCTCGAATGTTACATGCACTACAAATGGTGAAGCATATAAGAAAATAAAGTATGGTTCAAATGAACAACAGACGCATAATAGCTAAAAAATAGAATGATTTTCTTTGTCCTAAAGCTGAACAGGTCCTTAAAGAAAATATGGAAAAGGATGTACTTTGGATGTTAAACAATCCAAAGATAAAATATTTGAAGTGCAATCACATAGAATTATACATGTTGATTTGGAGAAGAAAACATGTACTTTCCGAGTTTGGTACGTAACACATAATCTACGTAAGCATGTTTGTTCAGTTATTATTTATAAGGAGAAAGATGTATATCAATATTGTGATTGGTTTATATCCGTAGAAGTGTTTAAAAAGAGATATGACCAAGTCCTTTTTCCCATCCCAAATTATGAGAAGCGAAGTGTGCCACGAGATAAAATTAAGATATTGCCATCAACTACTACTAAAAGGAATGGAAAAAATAGAACTAAACTTATAAATAACAGAACCATTTACAAAGGTATAAATAAATGGTCCTATTATTTATACGTTTAGTTCTATTTCTTTCATTCCTTTTAGTAGTAATTGATGGTAATATCTCGATGCAAAGCTGGGGGATCACGATCGATCTACTTGCAACGAGCCAATTAGTGATTAGTGTGGATTTCTTATTAGTATAATACTTTTGATAGAGCAATGTAGGTTATCAAAACTTTCGTAGCACATTGTGGAAGACTTTTGTAATCTGTGAGAATGTAAGACTAATCATATTGTGTATTCAAGAAATATCAGCTGTAAGAATGTAAGAATTTTAATATAATGCACTTGTTTTATTGAAGTTATCTATTTGTGTTGCCTGTTAACTATCTCGATATTATGTTAATTTTTAGCTTAAACTGTTAACTTTTAGGCTTTCCTGTTAATGTTCACAGAAATCTATTAGCTCTAGGAGATACATGTTAATTATATGTGTTATCAACAATAAACGTATGAGTCCTTTGGTGGATTGCTACGAGTAGTAACACTTTTGGTAGAGCAATACAGTTCGTGTATTCAATCAATTGTGAATAATACTTCATCTAGGAATAATATGACTATTTAAATTGCGTATTCGAGCAATATCAGTTGTAAGTTTGTAAGACTAATCAATCAATTTTTGAAACATCTTTCTCTCCATCTTGATCTAATGCCTCTGCTTGATTCTTTCTGTCCCCACCCTTCTATAAGAAGCTCAACTAAAAGCCTCGCACATATGACACCAGATTCATCGTTGGGAGCAGTTACTTACTTTGTATCAACACCAAGGAGTATAGCCCTCATATAAAGGGGAACGTAAATCCTACAATCAAAACTATATTATATAAAATAGCAAACTAGTTAGATATATGTTATTGGATAAAATGGAAAAGATAAAATCCTACAATCAAAACTATATTATATAAAGTAGCAAGCTAGTTAGATATATATTATTGGATAAAATAAAAAAGATTAAATTTGTGAAATACTAACAATCCAGACTGTTGTTCACAAGGGATGGCTTCATATATGTAATTTCTCCAAACATTCTACGGACTAAATTCATACTTCATATAATCCATGAAATTAATTACTTTATTCACTAGTTCAATGTAAGCACTACGGCCAGACGAGCTATAGTGCTTAACAACGTCCTCATCCAACCTAACTTTGGCAACATGCCAGTGGTCCAGACACACAACGGGGATAAGGAGTATACTCTTGCTCGCAGCAATATGCTTTTGTATAAATGAAGCTTACAGATGTGAAAATCAAGAGTCTTGGCATAAAGACTATGTTGTATTGCAAATAATAAAATGTTATGTCAATTATTAATAAGATATGAAAATAGTTAGGGATTTGATTTAATGCTTACGTAAAAGTACATTGATATGACTCTATATTTCTTGCTAAGTGAGGTATTTTTGGTCTCTCTAACCATGCACTTATTCTATCTATCAAAGTTTTTATGACCTACAAAATTACCATGCAAGAATGAAAGTTACCATGCATAACAATAAAACATAAAAGTAAGGTATGCATATATTTAACATATTAAACTTGTATGGTCATCAAGACGGCCTCCACGAAGAAAATACAGAAGCTCCAAAGCATGAATACCACTGTTTGAAGTATTGACAATAATAAACCTCCTAAAATATAATAGTAAGAAAAAAAAGTAAACAATTGCTAATAATAATTGACATGTACCAACGAAAGTTAATAGGAAAGAACAAATGTCAACTGGTTGTTATAAATGTTGATATGTACCAATGAATGTTAACATGAAAGAGCAAATATTAACAGTTTGTGATAAAAGTTGAGATGTACCAATGAAAGTTAGCACATAATTGTCCTAAGTTAACATATATAACATAATATTAACAAATATTAATAGTTATAGATAAACATTAACATGCATGGTTAAAAGTTCGCAGGTAATGTACATAATAACATGAATGATGAATGTACAAAACTTACTGATAGAATTTCTGATTACAAAAATTAGAGAGCCATCTGTTCTCATCTGGTGTGGGATTTACTATTACATGATTAGATATTTTGAAGCTGTGAATGAAAATTCCTTCAATATCTACTGGCGTATGCTAAAATCAAAAAATATCAGGAATACCCTTGTTTAATAACTTCAGAAGAGCTTCCTCCTTCTTCTTGATTTTTCTATTCTTGAACAAATCCCGGCTACATTTATTGGGTTTGGAGTACTACTTGGTTGTTTTTTTCTCCTCAATTTGATGGTGTGATATGTCAATTATCTCTTTATCAACTCCCTTCTTCTTTCCTTTGGTGAATGGGATTCGGACTAACTGTGATCTTGTTCTAATCTAGTTACTTGGCGCCCTTATTCCCGACCTTTGAAAAAACTTTC